CCAACTATAAGGCTAGCCCAATCAATTGTTGAGACGCAAATTTCCCTCCGTAGATAAGCCCCTCCGAATATAAACCCCTCCAAAAATAAGCCCCTCCAAAAGGACCTTTGAAAAATATAAGCCCCGGGGCTTATTTTCAGAATTTTACGGTATTCTCGGTTACAGATTTTCGAGCAAAAGAGAGACTGTTCGCAGTCTAAATATAAACGGAAAGCGCTGCAATTTGGTTCTATGGGGCGTTGCGAGAGTGCATTTGACATGACAGCCTGTCAAGCCCTGGTCCAATCACAGTTCAATAAAAAAAGATTCAACCTATCAATGAGCTTGTTTGCATCATTTGTACGCGTGCTCACATCTTGTTTTTATTTCTCTCTCAACATGTTAGAGTTATAAAAAAAATAATCAGCGGATTAGGAAATACATAAACTTCTTTCTTGCTTGGTGGTATATCAGAGGATAATGTCCTTAGGTGAATAATTATGCACGAAATTTCAATTGTGAACATATGCTTTTAATGGGTAATTGCTTTATACAAGTGGGCGGACGCTTTTTTTTGTTATTTCTGATTTTTTAAATTTCCAATTGAGTACTTTCTTTACACATTATTACCCTCCCCCAGGAATAAGTTAGAGTTCTTAGGTCAAACATTAATAAAATGAAACGTCAGATATTGATTTAAACACAAGTTTGTTTTACTTCTATACATGTTTTAAAAAACGCCATGATGCATCATACGATATATCGCAATAGGAAGGGTGTATTAAAAACGTCAATAGGACTATGATTTAGTCTGTCTGAAAGCTCTCTAAATCGACCTCACTTCCACACAAAAAAAACAGTGGATCAGCGAATGCAACATAGTATGGAACCTCTATTGAGGATTCACAGGTAAGCTTATTATTTACAAAGACTCGGCTGAAAACAGTGTCCTCTATGTTACTAGTAACAAACAAGAAGAAAAGAGAGGCGGCCCCAAAAAATGAAGCGGGCGGGAACAAGAAACCTTTTTTTTTACCTGGCCTAACTTTAACTTGAAATGTGGCAGGATTAGACAATAACTAAAACGTCATATATAACAAAAGCTCTCCTCACTTTTCAGTGGTAAGTTTTTTAATGCTGTGATTGGTGGTGTGGTAGGTAAAAGTTACGGACTCCATTTCAAGTATTAATTCCGCCAAAGTTGGTTCTGACATCGTAGCAAGGTCAGGAAACGCTTCCTTGAGAACATTTTTGCATGCAGTAAGGTGAAGCAGTGTATCATCTGACTGTACCACAATGCGACCACATAGTTTCTTCGAGGGGTTGGCGGTTCTCAGGTAAGCACTGCATTTTGACACTGTATGAACTTGGCTGCTGTTGCTTGAAGCAAATACCGTCCGCAGTTTATGCAACGGACAAAGGTTTCCACTGCATGCATGCTGTGAATGGAGGGCAGACTAGGATTCCAATTGTACTCTGTTCGCCATCGGGTGTTGGTTCTGGTATGGGAAGGTTAGTTAGTTCTGCTTGATCAGAAACTGAAGTGATGACGGAGTTGGGGGTGGTACTTAGTTTCTTAATTCCATTCCAGCCTCTAACCTGTATGGGACCGATGCGATATACCTTTCCAGTTTCCATTTCTTGTGTTAGTTCTGCCCACAAATTTATGGTTATTTGTCCGGTAGTATCTGCAAACGTACTCTCTACAAGTTTGAGGTTCTTCGCACCTACTACAGTAGGTTCAGCGAGGTGGAGAACTTTGCCAAAGAAAGTTATTAACTCACAGTTGCTTGAAGATTGCTTTATCTGGTCAACTGTGTACGTCGGGTGGAAACCGTCAGCTGACAGCCGGAACTGGAGCTCATACTCTGTAGGAAGGGGCTGGATGATGGTTGTCATGTCATTGATGACGAGTTTTGTGCCGTCGTCCGTGAAAGTGAACTTCTGTAACTTTATCGGGTTGGGGCTGATTTGACTTTCGTTCAGCAATGGCCTTTTGTTTTTAGAGTAACGGAGTGCTTCCTTGGTGCTTTCATCAGTCTGCAGTAGCAGGGTGCTGTAGTTCAATGTGTTATTTCTGTTTCACTTAGATGGTGTCAGTTGAAATACATACCCTATGATGGAAGGATTTTCGGCGGAAACTGGGAAAGTGCAGAGTACGACGAGTTTGAGGGGCTTGATGTTGCAGATGACGGAACAGTGGCGGAAGCGGCTGCTTTGGTCAACTGCTTTTTGTGGGTTTTGGGCTTTCGCGGCATGTGTACTACATAGAAAAATAGAAAGGGCCAAGGTACTTATAGTGATCGAACGAACCTCAAACAGACTACCCGAGAAACAGACAATTTGATTGGTGTATTTGGATCCTGCAAAGATTCTGACTCGTAACATACAAACTGTGTGGTTTTTACTTTATGCTGAGCGGCAATATGGCCGAACGAATAGTAACATGAGCTTCGCAAGGCATCATGGCCAAAACACCGGAAATACAAATAACGGAAGTGCCAACCGATTAACGTACTATTGCATCATTACATCCCTCCTTTCCTATAAGCTTGAAAAACTGGATAATAGTCTAGAGGTGCATTAACCTAATTCAGCGTCTACAAGGAACATGATCTAAGTCAATGTCGATTTTTTTTCTCTACAATAGCTAAACGCAACCATACTACTATGACCGTTTCAAAGTGTTCTTAAGAATCACAGCTGGTTTGACTCAGTTCCTACAGATCCAGTCTCTCCCGGGGTTTAATCAGCCTGCCACTGCGAGTTGTGTAGGTGTCTGGCGATGTGATGGTTTCATTCCTCAGAGGGTTTAAACTGGAGGATGAATGCAGACTAGGGGAATCTTTGGATGACGACTGCTCATTCCAGTCAGGTTCTACTGCTCTGCGGTCCTGATGCGCTTCTCGTGTGTGGGCTCTGTTGCGCCTCAGCTCTCTACCAGTTGCAGTCGTTACAGCGTATGAGCGGGGAGGTACAACTAGCCTCTCCTTTACCTGAGCCGGTTTCCATTTTAGCGATGCTGGATCTTGAATGGTGATCCTTTGCCCTGGGGCAAGTTCTGGGAGTGGCTTTGCAGATCGATCATAGTAGTGTTTCTGCAGTTGCTATCTTTCGATCAGCCTGGAGATAACTTCTTCACTTGATGGGTCCCTTGAAATCTTCCTTGGGAGGTTGTCTTGGATTCGGCGCCCCAATAGTAACTCGGCAGGTGTGGGAAGTTTGTGGTCAACAGGAGTAGCTCTCAGACAAAGAAGCGACATGTCAGGGTCTGATTTGGTCATTTTCGACTTCAGGAGGGCTGACTTCACTGACTTGACTTGGCTTTTGATAAACCCATTGCTACGAGGGTAGTGGGGGGAGCTTGTAATGTGCTAAAAACCGAGGTCCCGAGCGAACTCTTGGAAGGTTTGGCCGTTAAAATGCGGACCGTTGTCAGTTCTTACTACATCGCGGATGCCTTGCTCGCTGAACAGCTGCCTTATTATTTTGACTACTGTGCTGCTGTTACTTTACCCACTCGGTATATTCCTAACAAAGGGGTACTTTGAGTAATAATCAGCAACTACAAGATATTCAGAGCCATTTAGAGCGAAGAGATCAGCACCAATGGTGTGCCATGCCCTGGGAGCTACCTCTGTTGTTATTAGGGGTTCCTTTTGTTGGCTATGCTGGAGCTCCTCACATGTACTGCATGTTTTTGTGGTTTCTTCTATGTCCTTGTACAAGCCTCTCCAGTAGACTGAGGTTCTAGCTCTTAGCTTGGTTCTCTCGGTTCCTTTGTGTGGTGCGTGTAGTTTCGTCAAAATCTCTTTCTGCAGCGTGGCAGGAATGATAATACGGTGGGCTTTCATGACTATTCCGTCTTCAGTGGCTAGCTCGTCCCGGTAGGGCCAGTATGCCTTTAAGGGTGTTGGGACTTGCTGGATGTGTGCAGGCCAACCTGCGTGGATCATTTCTTGCAGTGCATTGAGCTCCGCATCCAAGCTGCTCTGTTCTTTGATCTTCTGCAACATGCTGCTACTAAATTGAGGAAAGATCTCGTGTATTTGGACGTTCATTCCGGGGATAGGGTCTTGACTCTCTGGTGATAATCTTGACAGGGCATCAGGGACTTCCAAGACAAGACAAGACAATACTTTATTACTTTATTATACAGTCCTATGTACATCGACGTTTTATCCAAATAATTTAAAATCATAAAACACATTCCACACTATAGTGAGACTATAATCAATGTTAACCTAAAGAACTAATGATCTTCTTTTCTCATAGCAGTCGAATATGTATTTCGCAATCAACTTTTGCACTGGTTTGTTCTTGCTCGGAGGGTTTATTAACAACAGAAAGACATCATCTAGTGCCATTCTGTTTACTGCTATTCTGTATTCTTTGTTTAAGTATTCAAATAAATTCTTTCTTTTTTCTTGATACGCAGGGCACAGAGTTAAAAAAGTGTATTTCATCTTCTACATTTTTTTTACAGATAGGACAGATCCTCTCTTCCGGTTTCTTATAAGGTCTTATATACCGACCTGTCTCGATCGCCAATTTGTGATTACTTAGGCGGAGTTTAGTTATAGTTATCCGGTGTCGGATGTTGTTGACCTGACGGAGATAATCTTCACATTTATAATTTTCTATTGTTTTAAATTTTCGGAAGGTTCTTAGTTTGTTCTTTTGGTTGGCGTCTTTTCTTACGTCATTGTTTACGTCACTTAACTATCATTGTAATTCGATATCTTTCAGTCTTTGTTTGATAATGTTCAAGATTCCTATGTCATTTTCATGTGCTTTTGTCCAGAGGTATCCCAGTCCTATTTGGTTTAATACGCGTTTGATTTTTTGGCTCCGTAATTCCTTATTCATCCTCGACTTTATATCATTATAAACCACCTGTGATAATTTGTGTTTTGGGTGTTTGGTTAGAGTTAGCCAAAACTTAAAATTTCTATATTGTGCTTCAATTTTTATTGGGAATCTTCCTGTTTCAGCCCTACATGCATTGTTGCTGCAGTATTTATTTACACCTAGCAACCATTTCAAGAATTTAAGTTGAAATAGTTCTGCGGGATCTTTTTCTATTTGGTCATTACAGTCAACACCCCAAATTTCACTTCCGTAGAGAAGTATGGGAGATATCAGAGCATCAAATACGTTAATCGTCAGCATAATATTTTCTCTAAAGTTGTCACCCATCTCTTTTCTTAGTTTATAAAGTGCCTTAAGCCCAACTTATTTAACTCTTCTCTAGCTAAACTAAAATTTCCATACGGGTTCAGTGTTATTCCCAGATATTTATAAGATTTAACATTGTTTAGTTTATTTACTCCATACTTAAACGAGTAGTTATTTAAGGACTTGCCACAATTATTAAAGATCATGACTTTTGTTTTGTCTAGATTTACAGTTAGTTCAGTTTTCTCACAGCAGGATTCCAACTGCTCGAGGAGTTTTTGTAGGCCACTTGCTGACCACAAAAAGATCACTAAGTCATCCGCATATAATAAACAGTTTATAGGTCTTTCAGAGTCATCAAGCAGAATATCAGTCGAGCTTGATGAATTTAAAAATTCGGGTAGATCACTTAGATAGAGATTAAAAGGGTGGGTGATAACATACAGCCTTGCTTAACTCCAGTGTAACACGGAAAAGCTTCAGTCATTTTGTTGTTGATTTTGACTGCTGATTTATCTTTTGAGTACATTGACATTACTATTTCTAAAAAACGCCCTTTAACTCCTTCTTTTCTGCGTTTTTCGAATAATTTTTGCCTGGGTATGCGATCAAAAGCTTTTCTAAAATCTACAAAACACGAGAAAAGCAAGTTTCTGCCTTTTTGCAGTTTAGATTTAACAAACTTATCTATGAGTGTTTTTAAAATGAAGATGCTATCTACTGTACCGTGCCTTTTCTTAAAGCCGCCTTGTTCTGCTTTTAGAATTCCTTTTTTGGTCATGTAATCATACAATCGATCATTGAGAATGAATGTGAAGAGTTTACCTAATGCAGAGAGCAACGTGATGCCTCGGTAGTTTTCAGCTTTAGATCGATCATCCTTTTTTTGTATAGGGACGATGAGGCCAAAACTCAGAGCGTAAGATAGTTACCTGAGCTTAAAATATGATTGAATAACTCTAGTAGATGACCTTTTATGATATCTTTCCCGGTTTTTAGCACTTCATTTAACATTTTATCACACCCTGGGGCTTTGTTTAATTTCAGTTTTTTGATTGCAAAATCAATTTCTTCTTCCGATATTGCATAATCTAGGGGGCCTGCCTCTTCCTCAATAACTCCAGTATCGTCTAGATCTGTCTGGTTGACGTTCGTTGGAGCCGCGTTTTGTTGTTTGAAGTATTCATAAAACTGTTCCCCACTTACTGTTTCGGTTCCATGTGGTTACCGTTTTCTAATATTAATGATTTTACCTATCTGTTTCCAGGTATCTTGAGGATTACAGAGGTAATCTTACTGACAAACTCTCGTTTTTTCCGTCTGCATGTCCGTTTAAATTTGTTCTTTTGTCTTGTAAAAGATGCCTCAGCTGGGAATTATTTGGCTCCTGAGAAATTTGTTCCACAAGGGATTTCAGGTTTTCTTTTTCAGTTTCGCATTCTAGATCGAACCGGTTATTTTGTGACATGGCTTTAGTTTTGTTGCGTTGGACTCTCAAGCCGGTTTTTTTACATGCTTCCACCAGAGGTTCACTGAACGATTCAGCCGCAGTGTCAACATTATCGTTTCTTAAGGCCGCTTGTAGTTTAGACTGAACTATTTGTGATTCTAGACATTCTTTTATCTTACTCTTCAGTTTGGTATCCCATAATAGTCTATTATGTTCAGACAAGGTGCATCCGTTCCAGCAGCTAGAAGAAACTGGGCTGCCGGCTAGAATAGCTTTAATAGCATAAGTCACATGACAGTGATCTGACAAATGTGGCATTAGGGGGTTAACAATTAAGTATCGCACATTCTTCCATGTCTTTGCCTGGTTGGTAGCGAATGGTGAGGTCATATGGTTGCAATCTTAGCAACATCCGCTGAAGACGCGGGGGAGCAGCTGTCAGGTGTTTCAGGTAGATGCTTTCGAGGGGCTTGTGGTCAGTGTGGACGGTAAAACTTCGGCCGTACAGGTAGGTGTGGAATTTCTCGCAGCCGTAGACAACAGCAAGCAATTCCCTTTCGATGTTTGCGTATCTTGACTCGACATCTGTTAGAGCTTTACTGGCGAAAGCGACAGGTTTACGGTCTTGTGTGAGGGCAGCACCTAGGCCTTTCATGGAAGCATCAACTTGAAGAATAGTTTCTTTCATTGGATCGAAGTATGTCAGAGTGATTTCGTTGCTGATAGAGTCTTTGATCTTATTAAAAGGCTCTT